GTGCCCTGTAGAAGTCCTGGGTGTGTAACGGGCTCTCTGTGATAGAAAGAGGAGGAGAAGGGGCGCTCCTCAGACCCAGAGAATTCTTGACAAAGATAGTGTTGGATGTGGACTTTGAGATATTTAAGATTTTTACCTGCGATGTAAGGGAAGTGGGCAGTGGGGTGGAGAAAGACATCCTCATTAGGAGAAATAGCACAAGCAAAAATATGGATCCAGGAGGCTTAGAACCGTGTCTAGGAAACAATGAACAGTCCACCTGGGAAGCTGAATTGAAATATCAATGGTGATGAGATCCCCCCGGGGAGTCAGGAGGGCTGGAATCCTGTCCTTCACTTTCAGGAATGAAAATGAACACCTTATTAGACACCAACCCCAACACTGGACCCTCGTATGCTATGTAGTACCGAGTGCCTGAGCGAGTGATGCAGGTGGCCCAAATCACAAGTTCTTTGGCTGCTTTCCCTGTAAGCCCAGACAGCAAGGCCCAGGATAGAAGCCATATCCCACATCCACAATAGAGCCAGGGCAATGGACAGAGAGGGGAGAGTGCAATCAAGGGAGAGCACAAAAGAGAGAAAATGGCAAAGCCTTTGCCCCAATCCCTGTTACAAAAACTCAAGGGTGTACATTAGCAAACAACTACAGAGATGACAACTTTGTGACTGGCAGATTCAATGGAAATTTGGGGGATATTTCATGATTTCAAGATTACTTTCCCCTGCACCAAATGGTACACACCTGCAGGTCATTTTCTTTTTCCTTTGATTTAATCCAAGTTTTGCCTTGAGTTTGTGGATCTATGAGGAGTGGGTATCTGGTGGCCTTCGTCACAATAATGCCATTCTGAATCGAGAGGTCATCTCCTGGTAGGCCCTGCAGTCCCCACTCGCCAATCTGAATGACAGGAAGTGGACATGGCCATTCGAAGGAGAACGAGAAAGCTTTCATTAGTAGTTAAAAGCACCACAATATAAAATAATTTAACATTTGGACATTTATTTTTCCATTGAGAAAGTGCAAGAGGTACCCAGAAAAAAAACCCAAATTTGTAAATGTGAACCAAGTAATATTAAATTTTTTTAAAAAACAGTAATAAATAAATCCTTTCTCTCATGATGCAAGACTAGGTTTAGTTCTGTATGTTATATTTTCATGCTTGAGTTAATATTGTTAAATTGATTATAAGAAGCTTGGTTGCTGAGCATTCGGAGAACACAGGGGCTTAAAATATGGTGAGGCTGGCTTTGTGGGTGGGGTCCAGACTGGCTAAAGGAGGCAGAGATAATGGTTACAGGTGATAAGATGTCAAAGAAGCCATAGCCGGTTTGGCTCAGTCGGCCTATGGACCAAAGGGTCCCAGGTTCGATTCCAGTCAAGGGCATGTACCTCACTTGTAGGCTCCTCTCCAGCCTGGTCGGGGTGCGTGCAAGAAGCAACCAATCCATGTGTTTCTCTCACATTGATATTTCTCTCTGTCTTTCCCTCTCTCTTCCACGCCCCCTAAAAAATCAATGGAAAAACATCCTTGGGTGAGGATTAAAAAAAAAAAAAGAAGAAGAAGAAAAAGAAAGATGTCAGAGGAGATAAGCCCCTGAAACTTCCCCTTCCTGCCCTTGGTTCTGCTTTCGTGGGGTCTGGGGTTGCGTAGCTGGAGGGAGAGAAGTCAGGAGAGACAGATATTATATTGGCAGGAGCTCATCAATGACATTTAAAAAAATATTTCTTTTCCAAAATCAGAGGGAATTGCCAGCCTGCCTCCACGTGTCCATAAAATCACCCAGGATCCAACAAACCAACCAGCCTCCGCCTTCAAAGGCCATAACTAATAAAGAATAGCCTGGCCCACCGAGCCTCACCAGTGACCCACTATATTCAGTACCTGATCGAGTCCCTGTCAGGACCATGTCAACATTGTTTGAATTGGAAAGACTAATTTTTAAGTAGAGAGAACATGCAATTAGTAGCATGGTGTCTCTAGGGCAACTGGGGAGCATATTCACAAATCAGAAAAGCAGCTCATGAAGACAAATGGCCTGGCAAGCGGGTACTGCCACCGGAGCCCGGCAGGGGGCACTGGCAACGGGCAGAGGCGCCCAATTCCCCACGAGGGAGGCTGGGGAGGTAGGTCACACTGTTCCTCGGTGACACGGAGCGTGCTGCTAATAAGGGATCGCTAATGACCAAGAGAAGGTTAATACCAGTGCTTGGGGCCTAGCTAATGTCTGCATTGGCCTGGGATGTTTGCGAGAGCGCGTGGTTTAGTAGGATGGTGTAGGGCTGTCAGGAGAGCTCACTGTCCGCCTGTCTGTAACTCACAAATGGCCTTTTAGTTCACAGCAGTGCAACTGGGACTCATTGGAAAGGAGGATTTCTTAAAATGCAGAGTAACTTTTATACAACAGAGAAAAACCATTCTTGGAGCTCATAAGCATTTTCAAACAATCTTTTCAATTAAATGATAAGAAAAAAAAACAAAACAAAGTAGGTGTACCTTGATTTCTTAGTAAGAAATAAAATGAGACTGAAATTCAAATAATGTGATGAGGACAGAAACACTCACTGTTGGAGGATCCACCAGCATTGAAATGAGATTCAGGTTTTCACTGAAAGGAATCTTCCGCGCCCGCAGCTCCAGCTCCCACAGCTCTTTAAGCAGGTAGTTCCTAAATATCTGATTGAAAGGACCGAGGTAGGAGAGGAATCCGGTGCACAGCAGAATGTCACCCACGAGCCTGTGGAGGAGAAAACACAGTCACCCTCCACAGTGGAAGGAGTTGGAAAGGCCACACGGCTGAGCCTGCGTGGAGATGACAGGTGCCTCACAAAAGGTGCTTCCCTCTCTGTTTCACCGAGAGCGAGAGCGAGAGCGCGGAACTTAAGCTGCAAGCAGTTTCTTGGACGGAGGGATTCGGCGATGGGTATGTGGAAACGCCGCCGGAGAAAGCTCTTCACGGGAGATGGGTTTTACATTCTCTAGCGTCACAAAGAGGTGGCCTTTGGGGTGGTGCCCGAGATGGAGAGCGAGTATAACAAAGACCGAGATGCATACCTGTTAATCTGAGCTTTGAACTCTTTGCTTTGCTGAGTCCATCGGATCTTCTCTCCACTCAGGCCGTCGATGAGGGTGGAGGCTGCCTGCATCTTTTTCCGGCACATGTCGGCATCGTTGAGCAAGTCCTGTGTTCATACAGGAAGAAGGTCTCAAGAACTTCTTAAATCCCTGAATTAAATACCCATTATATTCGCCTGTAAAATACCTGGAGGAATTTCTTAATGTGTAAAATTAATATAATCTAAAAATACCGTGTAAGGGAAACCTTACCTGTTAAATTCTGGTAATTTATTCAGTATATAGTTATTTTACATTACAAAATTTCAAGAAAAGCAATTTTGTAAGCTAGAATACAAATCACATCAATTAAATAGTATTTCTATGGGGGGGGCAATGAGTGGATAAGAACACATATGTATCAATAAAGAAAAATTTTTTTTTAAATAAAATAAAATTTCTATTAAATATTTTCAAAATAGAACCAAAACAATAAAATATAGTGCTTTTAAAAGACTTGGATTTAATAATAATTCTGAGTTCTTTGCAGTTAACCAAGATTTTCCCCCAGAAAATTTCTACACGACAGCCGTGTGCCGCAGGCAGCTTGCATCCGCTCACAAGAGCCAATTGTGAAAGTTGTAGGGAATGTGTGCTGGTGTTAAACAGCCGTTATTAAAAATTAAATTATGTAAACTTATAAGTAAACAAATCATATTAAAAGAAAAGGTAACGGATCACCAAAACCCATCACCTCCTAATTACTTACTCCGTCTCAGTGTTACCTAGTTGGGGTTGCTAGGCCCGCTGTGTCGGCATGGTGGAAATCGTATGTTGTGGTGCTGCTGCTGCCACATGTTTTTCCAAATCTGGGTTCAGTGTCCTCACAATGACAGCGTAAAAGTGGCAGTGATGGGTAGACCCCAGAAGTGAGCAAACCCTCCACACAGGGCCTTGTTCTTCCCCTGGCCCCTGCCTCACAACCAGGCCACCACTTCACATCTGACCTCAGAGGTCGGATCAGGATCCCCAGTTGATGGATAATTGAGGACAATTACCCTCAACTTCACAATTAATAAGTGCCTGAGCGGGACCTGAAGCCCAGTTTCCCAACCGCAAAGTCGGTGCCCTTGGGGCAGGACGTCACAGTTCCCCTTATGGAAAGTGATGGTTAAAAAGTGTCAAAGATCCAAAATAAATAGACATCGCTAGCAGGGAGGGGCATTCAGGTAAATCTTTTCGGTCACACACATGGACCTAATTTCTAAATGCAACATACTGTACACTTGCGTAACATTTCCATACGTTTCCTTCACTTTGGGTACTTAATCTCACCATTTTCTCATTCATTGCCGCATCGAATTTTGCTTGCACTTTATCCAGCTCGGCTTGTTTCTCATCAAGCAGTGCCTGCGCCTTCCCCAGCTCAGCATTGGCGACCGCTAAGCGGCCTTCCTGCTTGGCCAGATTAGCCTTGGAAAAAAGAGGGGGTGATTAGACACCTGACTTCCATCGGTAGGTAAACCACACCCCCCATGATGTTGCCCTAGATGTCTGGAGGTCACCCGTGTCAGTGCTTTCAGCTGGGGAAGCAGAGGGTCTTGAAGACACTTCGTCAAAGTTCTTTTTCTTTTAATTATTCATGTTCACATGGACACTGCAGCAATGTGTAGGAAGGAGAACAAAAATTACCCGTGATTTTACCCAGTGACAGTCTGAGTATCGTATGAAGAGGTTGATCCCTGGCATTTTGATTGCCCCTCCCCCACCTAAGGTAGTAGAATCATTTCCCCTGTCCTTAAAGCCTTTTCGTGAACATCGGTTATATGGCTGCACAATATGCAGTTTGGATGCATCCTTTTCTGTACTCTCAGACACCCCCCCCCCCTTTTAATTGTTATAAGCAATGCTGGGATGAGTACTGTTGGGAATGTAAACATTGTGGATGGTTTCCTTGGTAGAGATTCTTTGAAGTGGAATTACTGCCACAGTAGTTTTCCATCTTTTTCTAAGTCTTACAACATGGTAATTCTATTTCCTTGTACATATAAAGTAATTAATCAGCAAAGTAAGATAGCCCAAGAGCCTTCTGGCATAGAAGTTTTTTGAAAATTTTCTCAATTTCTTTCTCAGTATTTCATTTATTTGAATTTAGCCCTTTTCCCCAGGAAATTTTCACTTCATTTAGATTTTCTAATGTATTTACATAAAACTGTGTATAATTTGCTTTTTAATTACTTAAATCTACACATCTGTGATTATATGGATTTCTCTTTCTATTCTCATTGGTTCTATATTTTCTTCTTGATTAAATTTTCTAAGACTATATTTTGTTTTTGCAAAGCACCATTTAGTTCTAGATTTATTCATTAATTCTACTTTACTCTAATTTTTAATGTTATTTTTATTAGCTCTATTCCACTTTCCTCAAACTTTGTGCATATGTGTGCTTATAAGTGAATATGTACTGGATTTAGTATCTTTGATTCATTTAAGAGCAAAGAACGTATCATTTTACCAACTCAAAAAAGTTTTGGTAGCTAGCTGTTTGTCATCATTTACTAAATAAAAGTGACTGACTTTTTAAAATGTAAACTTTCTAATTTTATTGCTTATTATCAGAGAACAAGGCCTCAGTGATTTTTGCTTCTGGGAATTAAAGCAAGGTCTTCTTTTAGTATTGAACATGGTCTATTTTTGTAAATGATTCTTGGACAATAGCAATCATATTCTTTGTTTATATTTTAAAAAGTTCAAGTAGCAATTCAAACTTTAAAATAATATGGTGTAAACCCTCTCTATAATTAATTTATGCCTACTCAGGATTGGATAAATAATTTGCAGGGCCCCGTGCAAAATGGAAACGTGGGTCCTTGTTCCAATATTATTATGAACATCAACAGGGTGACAGCAGAGCATTCAGCCAAGCGCGGGCCCTTAACACAATGTGCATAGGTCACACCCAGAGAGCCAGCGCTAGGCCCACCCCATCTGTGCTGGAGTGATGTTGTGTGCCACAATCTCAAATTACAATATTATTTTTATTAATCTCCACCTAAAGTAGTAATGAATTTTGCTTTATGTACCTTAATATTATTATATTTAACTATTTATATTATATATTATATTTGGCCGGGTGCACAAAAATTTATGCACTGGGGGGCGGGGGGGTCCCTCAGCCCAGCCTGTGCCCTCTCGAAGTCTGGGACCCCTCAGAAGATTACCACTTGCTGGCTTAGGCCTGTTCCCTGGGGTATTGGGCCTAAGGTGGCAGTCAGACATCCCTCTGGCAGCCCGGGAGCCCTGGGGAATGTCCACTTGCCAGCAGGGAGCAGGCCTAAGCTTCAGTCGGACATCTTTAGCGCTGCTGAGGAGGGAGGAGAGGCTCCCACCACCACCACTGTACTGGCAGCTGGCAGCCTGGCTTGTGGCTGAGCAGATCTCTCCCTGTGGGAGTGCACTGACCACCAGGGGGCATCTCCTACATTGAGCGTCTGCCCCCTGGTGGTCAGTGTGTGTCATAGTGACCAGTCATTCCCAGTAGTTCTGCTGTTAGGGTCAACTTGCATATTACCCTTTTATTATATAGGACAGAGGCCTGGTGCATGGGTGAGGGCCTGTTGGTTTGCCCTGAAGGATGTCCTGGATCAGGGTGAGTGTCCTGCTGGAGTGCCTGGCAAGCCTGGGTGAGGGGCTGAGGGCCATTTTCAGGCTGGCCACACCCCCTTCAGGGAGGGGGGTCCTGCTGGGGTGCCTGGCCAGCCTGGGTGAGGGGCTGATGGCTGTTTGCAGGCTGGCCACAGCCCCTTCAGGATGGGGGTCCCCACTGGGGTGCCTGGCCAGCTTGGATGAGGGGCTGATGGCTGTTTGCAGGCTAGCCACAGCCCCCAGCCACCCAAGCTCCCAGTGGAGGCTGGCTGGAAGCAGGTATCTAGGATTTATTTATCTTCTATAATTGAAACATTGTTGCCTTGAGTGGAGGCCACAGCCAGCCAGGGCAGGCAGGAAGCTTGGCTTCCTCCATTGCCAGGGCAACCAAGCCTCCTGCTTGCTCCAGCTCCGTGGCTGCTGGCCGCCATCTTGGTTGGGTTAATTTGCATATAGTCGCTCTGATTGGCCAGTGGGCATGGCTTGGGGCATAGTGGAGGTGCGGTCAATTTGCATGTTTCTCTTTTATTAGATTAGATTATTACAATTGAGTCTCACTGTAGACTTAATTGTTAGGAATAAAAATTTTGATCACTAAAAAATAACAGCTCTTTTAAGTCTTTTTTTTTTTCTTGAATTCTGAAATTTATGTAACATTTCTCTCTTGGTACCTTTTTGTTTGGGTGTGTTTGCTCTATAGTCTCATCATTTCCCTTTGTTAAAACTTTATTTTTCATTTATTTTCTATTTGTCACGAAGCATAGAGTTTAAAGAGGCAATCCCTTCTATAAGGCTTACTATGAAAACCAGCAACCTGCCCACCTCCTCACCAGTTCCTATTCCACAGAGCAACCACTTTCAACTCTTTCACCTGCACGGGGCTGGGGTGGGCAGCGGGGCTGTGTTTGTCTGGGTGAATTATTTTATGTCTCCTTTGCATTCCTGAGAAAGTCCTTCTGTTCCCTCAGATATGAAGGACAGCCTGGCCCAGCATAGATGTGTGTCTGTTTGTGTGTGTGTGTGTGTGTGGTATTTACCCTCAATACTTAAATTACATCCTTGAGAAGGTCTTTTTGTTCCCTCAGACACGGAGGGCAGCTTGGCCAGATACTGAATCCTCGGAGCAGGGCAATGTCCTTCTCACTACTCTACGTGCGTTTTTCATTCTGTTCTAGTGTTAGGCTGGTGGGAAGTCTGTGGCACCCTGAAGTCTCTACTTTTGTAATCATTCTTTTAAATTTTGTTTTATTGTGTCTTAGATGCATAAGAGTGTCCCTTTCTGTCTTTGAAATGTAAAACATTTCTAGGCAGTGATACAAATTTTTATAAATTTTGTTTGGAATATAGCAACCAAATTCAGTCTCCAAACCTTATCCCCAAACTTCAAAGAAATGGCAAGTGCTCTTCTGCTAGTATGACAGCTTGGTTATTATTCCCAGTAAACTCCTTCCCTGTCCAAGGTAACAAGCTGGTTCCAGTGTCTTGCCTGAGATGCCTAAAACATGTAACAGACGTAAAAACGGCGCGAGACGGTGAGACGGTGAGCGGGCAAACAGAAAAAGAGGAAAACGTTGGCCACCGGGACATCTACCTTGACTCGTCAGAATGATGCCTTGCCTGTTAAACAGCAGTAACACGAAGGCTTGGTGTTACAGAGCACCGAGTCACTGGGAGAAGGAAGGAAACGTACCTTCAGGGGCAGCACCTCCCTGTTGATGCCATAAAATATTGCCATAGCGAGTGTCCAGGACAGCAGACCGGCCACATTCCCACAGACTTTTTTGGCACTTTCAAAAGTGTAATCATCCATATTAAAATACGGCTGCAGCAACTCCACCGTCTCTTCGTTGATGGTGTCCTTGGGGAACTGCTGCAGGCTCCACAGGAACCCCGTGGCGCTCATCAGCTGCAAAACACCAGCACCGCAGGTCTGCAAGGAGGTACCTGCCCGCTCCCCAGCCAGGCTGCTCCAGAGTAACAGCGGATTGGCTGCACCATACAAACCAAGACTAGGACAGGGGCCAGCCTAAATCTGTGAACTGCAAACTGTCCTCTCATTTCTAAAGATCAAAGTTCCCCTGAAGCATCCATCTTAGATAAAAACTGCTGTTTGAAATGTTCACCCTGCTATTTTGGCTTCTGTAAACACTTGCTTGCTTAAATAATAAGGAAAATAAGACGACTCCCATTCCAGAGGGGCCATAAACTACGCCCCAGACAGAGTTGTCAGTGCTGACACCAGGCCAAGCCTTGGGATATGGTCGCACGGCCCCTTCCCAGCACACAGGCCTTCTTTCTCAGAAGGCCCGGAAGTCTCCTTCCAAATTTGGGAGACAAAGGACTGGAAAAAGTATAAATAGAGAGAGTTTCCTCCATGTTGGGGGGCCCAGAATTTGAAAGACACGTTTTTCTCTGAGCCTGCGCAGAATTTATAATTAAAATGTCACTCCCTTTCTCTAAGCATGGCTTGGTTTTTCTCCAGTCACCCGTAACACCCCCAGCTTCCTGTCCAGGGAGTGCATTTAAATGGGTTGACATCGGGACTGCCAATACTGGCCACTGGTTCTGGACAGACTGTGCAGAAAGCAAGCGTTCAGCCTAAACCTCTTTCCCTGCTTACATTCTGGAAGATGCAGAGTAAGAGACACTGCTCGATAACAGCGGTCGACTTTCACCGGCCAGCCTGTGTGGCCTGTATCGAGTGCCCAGGCTGAGGACACCCGAGCGCCGCACGGGGCCTATAAAATAGATTCCACTTACTTTCAGCGACTCTCCCCATGACGGCTTGCAGCAAGGTTTTTCTGGATCCATAGTAACAGGATCAATTTTCTTTTGAAAGAGTAACAGAACGCAGTCCATGATTCTCATAATAAGATGCGGGGGCTTTGCAAGTTTCCTGACCGTGGCAATGTCGTTTGGTTTGATAGTCTGTATTGGGGGTGAGGAATCAATATTTTTGTTGTTATTGAGCAGTGTTCATAGTCATGTGGCAATCTAATACTTATAAATAACAAAAGCAGAGAACTTTAAAATGCATTTTCTCCCCAAACCCTGACATTATCGCCTTAACCATTTGCATTCCAAGATTTTTTCCTAATAGTTCTTTCACTGTGATTCTAGGATTTATGCTTATTTTAGTGTTGTTTTTCCCCTCTATTGCCCTCAACTAGTTCCTTGGAATATCACTACCATTCATTGCCCACCCAGCAACCCGCCCACCCCAGGCCTTTGTTAGCAACAAGCCTCAGTGATGGGAAACAGTTAGATAACTTGCATCTTCAAAGCACAGAGACTATCTTATGTGTGGATAACGAAGAGGAGCAAGGCTGGAGTAGCAGAAGCCTCACCTCAGGCCTGCACTTTGAGGGCTGCCCTACCCATGGAAGGGGGAGGAATTCAAAGGAGACAAAGGAAGTTATTATAACACCTGCTTCCTAAAAATGTTTTTTGACAATTTCTGTATGTGAGCTGGGTTTCGAATAAGTCATTACCAGACATTCAAAGCAAGAAGGACCGGGACATCCCATAAATCAAGAAAATCTCCTAAGACCCATTTGATTCCGTGATCTCTCTCTCTCTCTCTCTCTCTCTCTCTCTGTCTCTCTCTCTCTCTCTGTCTCTCTCGTCATCATGGAATCCATAAAGGGAGTGGGGATGAAGAATGTGCCCTGGTCACTGTCACAATTTTATTAAATGATTATCATAAATCTATTCATTCATATAACAACTACAGCCATTCTCCCATATAAAACAAACAAACACAAATAGCCCTGTCCTCATATTTTTCCAAGACAGAGAGAGAAAACACAGTTACCCTAAACTAGGATTATATGTCATAACAGAAGCTCAGGGGTGATGGGCAAATAAAGGAGAGCAGGGAGACCAACATTTTCTGGACGTGGTGAGGTCTGAGCCTGGTCTTAAAGATTGACTCTTACTAGGCAATGGAGGCAGGTGAAGCATTCCTGGCAGAGGGAGAGACTCATTTAAACACCATGATTTTCCAAAGGCCTAGAGCTTTTTCTGTGTGTCTGGTCATGTTGTGTGGGGACATACAACGAGAGTTCAAGTAGTAGAGAGAAGCCAGCTTAGCCACAGCAGCAGCAGCAGCACTAATATTCATCGAGTGTTTTCCACTTGCCCAGCAAACAGCACACATGACCATTAACGTTTACACTGACCCTCCAAGGATCAGTGAGGAGTTACAATCCCCATGGAGACTCACGGAAGGTTAGTCAATTTACTTAAGTGGTGGCCCCAAGAGGCAGATGCCGGTGTGCCTGCCTCCGAAGCTGTGCCCTCAGAGCCCTGGACGCCTGGCTGGGGACTTATCCTGAGAGCAACGGGAACCACATGGGAATTTCAAAGGGGCTCATGACAATCTGAACAGGGTTCTAAGTGATCTGAATCCCTTGTGCATGGCTTAGGCCAGTGATGGCGAACCTATGACACGCATGTCAGAGGTGACACGGGAACTCATTTTTTGGGTTGATTTTTCTTTGTTAAATGGCATTTAAATATATAAAATAAATATCAAAAATATAAGTCTTTGTATCATAAATCTATTCATTCATATAACAACTACAGCCATTCTCCCATATAAAACAAACAAACACAAATAGCCCTGTCCTCATGGGCTGTCTATGGTTGCAAATATCAAAAAATTTCTATATGTGACACGGCACCAGAGTTAAGTTAGGGTTTTTCAAAATGCTGACACCCCGAGCTCAAAAGGTTCACCATCACTGGCTTAGGCATTAATCACCAGTACAGTTCCCAGTTCTCATGGAAAGCCGATTTACAGGATGCAAAGAGTAAGTTACAGGATGTAAAGACTTAAAAAAATTAGAACTTGGAAAACTTGATCCGTGGAAAGGTTTGTTTCCAGACTCAGTTTCGTGATTACAAAACTTCTAGTTATTTCATGCCGTGGAATGCAGTGCTGCAAGCAATTGTGTGGGGGGGACAGCAACGCGCTACTCACATTCAGGGCTGCTTCCGCCTCCTCCAGGGCAGGCTTAGCGGCCTCGAGTTTGCTCTCAGCTTTTACTTTTTCACTGTCAATTTCATCCACAATTTTTTGGGCTTTGTCTTTCACCTCCTGCACCTCGTTTTTCACCTTGGCTGAAGCCTGAGCACTTACTGTGACTTCTGCTAACACCTGTTAAATTGAGGAAACACACGAGAACAAACAGAAACCTCAGAGCAGCATTTACAGATTTGAGTACTGAGAGAATATTCATTCACTAAAATGTAAAACATGAATAAGAGCAAGTTGATTCCCCATCTAAGATATATATGCTTATTTTAGTCCTCACCCAAAGATGCTTTTATTGGTTTTTAGAGAGAGATGTGAGAGAGAAATATGGATCCATTGTCTTTCTTATGCACTCCGACCAGGGATCGAACCCACAACCTAGGTATGTGCCCTGACTGGGAATTAAACCTGCAACCCTTTTGGTGCATGGAACAACACTCCAACCAACTGAGCCACCGGGCCAGGCTGAGTCATCTATATTTTAAGGTGTATTAAAGTACACCTTAAGCAGTCCTTGCAGTCTGTTATTTCCTAAGCTTTCTTCAGGCTTAGAATATATAAATAAACTAGAGGCCCCGTGCACAGATTTGTGCGGTGGGAGGGAAGGGGTCCCTCAGCCTGGCCTGCGGGGATCGGGCCTAAACCGGCAGTCAGACATCCCCGAGGGTTGTAGCAGTGAGTGAAGTGGCAGGAAGACGGGGAGGAGCCCGAACCAGGCCGGGCACCGCCCGGCTCTGTGCTCGGCGCTCTCGCCACGCTCTCGCTGCTCCTTAGCATTGCTGCAGAGGTGGGAGAGGCTCCTGCCACTGCTACTGTGCTCACCAGCTGTGAGCCCAGCTTCTGGCTGAGTGGTGTTCCCACTGTGGGAGTGCACTGACCACCAGGGGGCAGCTCCTGCATTGAGCATCTGTCCCCTGGTGGTCAGTGCATGTCACAGCTAACGGTTGTGGTTGTTCAGGTTGTTCCAGTCATTCTATCATAACAGTCATTTAGGCTTATAGATAGATAGATATTTAACCTTTCAGAAAAATGGTATTTCTACTGTATGTAATTTCTAAAAATTAAAACAACATAAGTAAGTGTAATGGAGTAAGATCAGAAACCATATTAAGCTTCATGTAAATAACAATAAAAATAGCTCATATTTTGCTAAGTGCCTACCATATGCCAGAACTTTGCTAAGGGCCTCTCTTGACTCTCTCCTTTCAGCAACTGGATAAAGGTCAAGATTTAAGTATCAATTCCTACCTGGCCCTCAGGGAGTGGAAGTGGACACAGCCTGGGGGGTGGGGGGCGGTAGATAAAGGAGCAGCACCATGTCCCTACCCCCTGGGAGGAGTATCCTTTTTTTTTAACTTCACCAGCTCCTCCTCTTATTTTTCCCCTGCTTGACACGAGCTTCAGATGAGACTTGGGGCATCCTAGAAACCTAGAGTATGCAGGGACCTTACCACATATAACTACAGTCAAGCAGAAGTGTCATAAACAGATGAGGGAGAACAAGAGAGACAGAGCCAGAGAAGAAAGAACAGCCTTAGACCTGGTGGGCTAGACTAGCTTAGGTATGCCTTGGTATGAGTTAAACAAAATATCTAATGGTCGTTGGGAACATTATCTTACCAGAAATAGTCTAAGTCTATACCCTGTAAGCTTCTAAATGCTTTTTCTCTAGTTTGGAAAAATGTTCCTCACTGCTCGGGATAAAACAAATGCAAACTCACTTCATCTGCTTTCACAGACGCCACTTCCAATTCCTTCTCCTTCACTGCGAGGTCCTGCGAGAGCTTCGCAACCGATTCGCTTGCCTCCATGAGCTTGTCAAGACCTTTACAAACACACACGTGTACACGCTTGCTGAGTCTATGAATCCCCCTCCATCAAATATTTATTCAACATTTACTACTCATAAGGCACCATATAAGTACTATAACAAACACAAGGTAATTAATTATGGACAAATGCTTTAAAAATGCACCTATCTTAGGAGCAACAACCCTGACCATATTTCTGAGAGCTTCAGCAGGGGGTGAAGAAAATTGCTCTGGTGGGAGAACATCATCTGGCCACACTGAAGGGAAGTCACAGGGCCGCACTGAGAAAGTCGGTTATTGGACTTGCTTGAGAAACGTGCTTGACAAACCTACGCTCCCCTGGGCTTTGCAAGCAATTTGTGGCTGTCATTTGTTGCCTTTGAATCCTATTGCCGCTGAGATGGCAAACGAGACGCATAATCTAGTAACATTTTTGTTGTCCTCTTCACTATAAAAACAAAAATAACCGCTAAAACCCGTGCACCTGGCTCTGTGGCTTTCAACACACTGGAGAGGACAGCAACCAACCAGCTTTCTCACATCCCAACTGGGTTCTAGGCAGAGGTGTTTAGCGAATGTTTAGCATCTGGTCTCTTGACGGGGGAGGGGAAGCACTCATTTGTATGTTTCCGGCGTCCATGGTGTAAATACTCCCACGTGGCTGATGTCAAGCTACCGAGAGATTCTCAGAGGCACACTGAGATATTTCTACCAGGCAGGTAGAATGGACATAACCTCAAGAACAATAATAATAGCAAAACAGAGTAAAAACAACTCAGAAGTGATATGTTTTGAGTAGCTTTTGCCTTCGCTTTTAATATACTTTATTTAATTGTAAGTTTATATGTAATTTAATTTTAATAAAGGCTGAGTTTAACAACCAGATCAGACAATTCCTAACTAACCCCGGCTCCAGTGAGCCAGCGCATGGGGTCAGCACCGAGCTGGTCCTGAGCATCACGCAGAGCCGCTGCGGGAAGGTGAGCGAGAGGACAGCGAGGAGCTTTCTCCCGCTGCTCCCAGCACCCCTTAACTTCCTGCCCTTGAGCTCAGTTAGGCTCCGTGACCCGGTTTTGTGTAGGAGAAATAAAAGGACAGCACTAACGTATTTTGGAGTGTGTGGGTCAGATGCTTTCTGGACCTATAATTGATTCCGATTTCTATTTTTTCTACTTATATGTACTGAACACTCAGAAAACCATCACTCAAGTAAACTCTCTCTTTTTGTTTTTGTTTGTTTGTGTTTTGCCTTTTCCGTTGTTAGAAATTTGAGAAGCATTAACTTCACAAAGTTTATACAAATTGAGGGAAATTGCAATGAAACCAGAAATTGAAATTGTGGTCAGTTCTCAAGAGCTGGCTATTCCCCAAGTGACCGTGGTCACTCGCTGCCCAACCAGTGGTCCCAGAGTTGAAGGAGTGGGGGGGAGAAATGGTCTAGAGAAAAACAGGCCACCTGCTTGGATTTTCTTCCGCCCAGAGTTTCTGGACAGGTCAAAGCAGCCGTAAGCGCCTTTCCTCAAATACTCCGTTACTAACAATAAAGTCCGTCCTTCCTTTTCAATCACAACAGCAGCCACCAAACACAATATTGGGGTCCCTATCAAACAAGCCCGTACAAATCCCATGCTGCTTACCAATATTCATCCGTTCAGCCTGCTCATTGATAAATTTCACCTTTTCCGTGTAAATGTTTTTATAACCGTTTATAAACGAGAGGTAAGATTTGGGAGTCACGTGCGCTCTCCGGCGGTACCTGAAAGGGAAACAGAGTGAGCTTCGTCGCTGCGTCCCGTGGCCTGCCACACAGGTCGGAGCCCCTGCTCTTGCCACGAGAGCGAGTCACTGGTAGGGAGGCAGGGAATGTGAGTGGTTTCCCTGGAGATGAGATGGTGAGATCATTAAATATCTATCTTGACTTTTTTGGGGTTGTTTCCTCGTCTGGGGAACTGATGGGGGGGGGGGGGAATCACTGCTCTACACCTGCCAGAATTTTGTGAAGATAAAAAATATATATAAATAGCAAGTGTGCTTTGCAAACTTTAAGATTCTGTGCAGATATCAGGGATAAGTGAGGTGGTTGAAGTGTCTTCTTCTCGACTGATATTGGCTACACACCTCTTCACAGCCAGGCAGCAGCTGGTGGTCGCCTCCGGGGGCCCACCAGCTGCTCCCTGCACACCTTGGGCTGCCCTTAAAATCAAAGCAGCCACGCTTGATTCAACACTCACCTCCTTATGGGCTTAGCATAGCGATTATATTTAACAATAGAAATAAATAAAAATAATAATTTTATACGGAAGAAACTCAAGTCAGAGAACTCCACACATACATAAAGTCATTTTACCTTTTAGATTAATTTTGTACTTTTGGCTTTCAGAAGATTTTTGACATTAAAAATATTTCAAGAACTTGGCATATAGATGACTATCATTAAAGTGTTATGAAAATATTACATTCAGAATAAGCTTCTACCGCCGGAGAGGATATGAAAAATACACCAAGTTTTTCAAAAATAGACATGGGTTTCTGTAGCTCTGTGAAAGTGAGGATGTCTCTCTACAGGTAACAGTAGCAGGAGGAGTTCAAATGAGGTAGAAAGAAAATCGTCCTCACAGTAAAAATGAGTGCGCATGAACTCACCAGAAGATCATCTACAACTAACAGTTCAGGAGGGGTGGTCTAGGTAGGGTTTCTCATACCCTTTGCGAGATAGGGACCCCCTGGAAAATCAGTGAGATGGAACCCAGAGGGTCCCTCTGCAGAAGAACAGACATGGTCTTTCTGGCGGGTCCAGCACCCCTGTGGCCCACCCGCTAACCCTGAGGGAGAAGCCCACTGCTCCAGAAATGCAGGCCGGCCCAGCGACATTCACATCTGTCAGTGGAACACAGAGACGATCATGCTGGGGGGAGGGGAGGTGAACTTCTAAACTGTTGACACCAGCTTTCACATATGAGTCGCTTCTCCTACAGTCAATTACAATTTTGTTTCACAATTATTTGGCCTAAAAACATGATGAAACAGGCATCACTTGATCAGACTAAGTGATGCAAATACAAAACCTAAGTGTTCTTGTAACAGAAGGCAGCGATGAAGCTTTAAAACAGCGCACTTCTTTAATCACAATAAATAATGCACTTGAACAAGAAACTAATTTTAAATGGTTTGTGATGAATAGTTAAGTCATTTTGGGGAAAAAAAATTAAGTACACAAAATAAAGTGATTCATTAAGCATGTGTTACTTTGAGGCCTAGAAGGAAGGAGGTACTTAAATATGGACACTAGTTAATTTTTAAATCTCGTTTTTTTACTACCCTTTCAATCCATAACCACTGGAAAATCAAAGCAAGAAAAAATGTAAGTGCTGCTGGGACCCTGAGCTCAGTCCGCACGAGCCCTTTCCTGGATGTTCCAGGCGATTCCTCCCAGGAGGGAACTTAGTGGTCCTGCAGCTCTCGTGCGTATGCCACGTCACCTACCTTTGGAAATAACTTTCACAGTTCTCTGAAACCATGTCATGGAAGAGGCCCATCGTTTCCACAACTTGTCTTTTGGTGTCAGCAGAGCAGACGATATTATAGCCTGAAAGGAAGTAGGAGGCCACGGCGACCAGCGCCTCCCTGGGCCAGCGACTGAACCAGTCCATAGTGCAACCTGATATCAAGCCAGGAAATTTCAAAGACCGGGCGCGGAACTTCTCGCCAACCTATCACAGCAAAGTCAGGAAGCATTAGAGACACAAGCGGATTATAACTTGGCTAGAGAGAGTTGTGTGTGCATGCTGAGTCAACGGTGTGACATCACAATTTTTTAAAACTCTTGGGCTGCATTAATAGATAAAGTGTCCAACCAGGGGGGTGAGGGCATGAACGGGAGTGGGGTGGTGGTGGGGGGGCAAAGGAGGGGGATAAGGACACATATGTAATACCTTAATTCAGTGGTTCTCAACCTGTGGGATGTCAGTAGTGGTAACTCTGACATCTACTTAGAGCTCACGGAACCCTCCCAACCCTTCTCTAGTCCTCTGTTAGATTCTGAGCCAATCATCTCATCAGAGAAGGTAGACAAACTACCTGACTACATTTAGATCAGTAGCTCCTCCCACACGGACATGGTAGAATAAGCACTCACTGGAGAGAAGCAGAGCACCACATGCAAGTTCCTCCTGGACCTCGAGATGAAGTACTCGTACAGGTTGTCGAAGGTGGGAGGGTGGCGGGGCAGCTCCCTTTTCATCACCGCGATCAGACCCTGGGTGATCTCGTCTATCTCATCCCGCGCAAACAAGTTGGAGATCTTCGAGGAATGGACAGACAGTGTTCTGTGCTTTCAGGGTTCCCACAGCCAGTTCACTGCCAGAGTCTGGTCCTCTTCCCCTCCCCTCTCCCCCTTCATGTCGTCTTTTCTTCCTATTTTCTTTCTGCATCTCCACAGTTAAACTGCTGGTTTGCCAGAGATTATCAAGATTGCAACCATTTATTGAGCAGACTGAGCTGTTTAACCAGGAGCAAATTATGTTTCTTTCCCCTTGTCGAAATAGCTATCACTAAAACGCAGTCTCTCCGCCGTGGTGATCGTTCCTTTAACACGTCCAGTGCTGCCCTCTGTCCTCTGAGTCACTGTCAGGCTCAGTTCTGGCCCCACGCTGGTTAGCCAGCTCATGGCCAACAAGCATCCACCGACACCAGAGGGCTGGGAAGCGTGAACACCGCGGCCTGACGTTAGGAAGGGTGTGCGCGCAGGGCTGGCATCTGGGACCCTGGCTTTGGAATGTCTCCCCCATTGCTCACTGATAGGTTGTTCCACTGCGCCCAGACTGTTTATGCAAACACTGGGATAGATGGTGAACATCTGCGTTCCTCCTGGGAGTCTGCGATTTGGGCAGCTGTGGCTGGGCAGGGAGTGACCACATGGCCAGCGCCAGTGACGGCATCGGCCTCTGAGCCCCAGACAGGCTCCCTGAAGGGCAGTGCATGTGGGTGGCTCTTCGCTGCGGCGGGAGAAGCACCCCCCAATGGCCCTCTGGCGGGAACAGAAGCAGCCTGCACGTGGATTTCTCCAGATCCACCCAATGTGTCTCTGTCTTTGCTCATCTGGCCGTGACTCCCTACTGTGTTGCTTTCATAAATGTTACGCCTAAGTCCTTCTAATGAAGTACCACGCGTGGGAGGGGTCGTGAGGGCGCTGATACAGTGGGGTCAGAAGTGGTAACTCTGACATCTACTTACAGCTCACGGAACCCTCCCAACCCTTCTCTGGTCCCATTAGGGAGGGGGGTGGGTGCGGGGGTGGATAGATAGGTACTTTGCTACTCCTGAAATAAATCATAGGATCAAATTGGAGACTAAAGAGGCAAATAAGCAATCGTATTTAAAATGGAACAAAGCGTACAAAACAAGCTGGAGACAGGCAGCATTAATTTCACAGGAACTTCAAAAAACTGGCCAAATCTCATGTGTTAATCACTTCTGAAGTGAAACGTGTGTAACCATTGGCCTCACTTGCTAAAGGTTGTTGAAGGGTCACTGCTGTTTCTACTCAAATAGAATGTACATTTAAAAAAACATGAGGGTTTTTTTTCTCCACTTTTGAGACCTAGTCTGGTCCTCTTCCCCTCCCCTCTCCCCCTTCATGTCGTCTTTTCTTCCTATTTTCTTTCTGCATCTCCACAGTTAAACTGCTGGTTTGCCAGAGATTATCAAGATTGCAACCATTTATTGAGCAGACTGAGCTGTTTAACCAGGAGCAAATTATGTTTCTTTCCCCTTGTCGAAATAGCTATCACTAAAACGCAGTCTCTCCGCCGTGGTGATCGTTCCTTTAACACGTCCAGTGCTGCCCTCTGTCCTCTGAGTCACTGTCAGGCTCAGTTCTGGCCCCACGCTGGTTAGCCAGCTCATGGCCAACAAGCATCCACCGACACCAGAGGGCTGGGAAGCGTGAACACCGCGGCCTGACGTTAGGAAGGGTGTGCGCGCAGGGCTGGCATCTGGGACCCTGGCTTTGGAATGTCTCCCCCATTGCTCACTGATAGGTTGTTCCACTGCGCCCAGACTGTTTATGCAAACACTGGGATAGATGGTGAACATCTGCGTTCCTCCTGGGAGTCTGCGATTTGGGCAGCTGTGGCTGGGCAGGGAGTGACCACATGGCCAGCGCCAGTGACGGCATCGGCCTCTGAGCCCCAGACAGGCTCCCTGAAGGGCAGTGCATGTGGGTGGCTCTTCGCTGCGGCGGGAGAAGCACCCCCCAATGGCCCTCTGGCGGGAACAGAAGCAGCCTGCACGTGGATTTCTCCAGATCCACCCAATGTGTCTCTGTCTTTGCTCATCTGGCCGTGACTCCCTACTGTGTTGCTTTCATAAATGTTACGCCTAAGTCCTTCTAATGAAGTACCACGCGTGGGAGGGGTCGTGAGGGCGCTGATACAGTGGGGTCAGAAGTGGTAACTCTGACATCTACTTACAGCTCACGGAACCCTCCCAACCCTTCTCTGGTCCCATTAGGGAGGGGGGTGGGTGCGGGGGTGGATAGATAGGTACTTTGCTACTCCTGAAATAAATCATAGGATCAAATTGGAGACTAAAGAGGCAAATAAGCAATCGTATTTAAAATGGAACAAAGCGTACAAAACAAGCTGGAGACAGGCAGCATTAATTTCACAGGAACTTCAAAAAACTGGCCAAATCTCATGTGTTAATCACTTCTGAAGTGAAACGTGTGTAACCATTGGCCTCACTTGCTAAAGGTTGTTGAAGGGTCACTGCTGTTTCTACTCAAATAGAATGTACATTTAAAAAAACATGAGGGTTTTTTTTCTCCACTTTTGAGACCTACCTCCCCTGAAGATAGCAGGTTGTTAAGATATTCTAGAAAAGCCTCATCTTTTATTTCATTGTCAGTAAAGATGAAGGTGATGCCTTTTCCTTCAGCCCCCGCAACTTTGTACAAAACTTTTAAGTCTTCTGTTAGGTTAGTCACATTATAAGACCTAAAAACAGAAGTGGTAAAAAAAAAAAATTTTAAATTACAACATATATATAGTCTTAATTTATCTCAAAATTCAATAAAGCCCATGATGATTAGAGCATAAATCTGCACCTGCTGCAAGAGATATTAAGTAACAATGTCTGCTAAAAACACAGAGATTAGCCTGGCCACCGTGGCTCAGCGGTTGAGTGTCAACCTATGAACCAGGAGGTCACAGTTAAATTCCCGGTCAGGGCACATGCCTGGTTGCGGGCTGGATCCCAGTAGGGGGCGTACAGGAGGCAGCTGATCAATGATTCTCTTTCATCGAAGTTTCTATCTCCCTCTTCCTTCCTCTCTCTCTAAAAATAAATAAAAATATATATTCTTAAAACCACAGAGATTAGCATAAAACAGCTGTATGTTACGGTTCCAAACACATGTTCTATTTAACCTGAGAAGTGAGGACTGGGGAACTGACCATCAGTGGCTCACGAAGAATAACTGGGACAGGGAAATGAACTTTCATTCCCTGCAATCGGACAGTCCTCAGCCACAGATTTTGCCCAAAGGGCGAATATGTATAGCATCTAAAACAAATTTGAAACTTGGATGAGTTTGGACTGATAAAAAAGTAAACACAAATTATAAATAAAATCAGTGATTAGTGATATATAGTGGTAATTTGGGCATCTCTCTGAGTGGCTAGATGCAGAGAAAGCCTACAGAAAAGATGCATTGTGCAGTGTGGTATAGATAACAGAAATGCCATCATTGTGTGGTTACGGATTACGAAAAGAAGACCTTGGTCTCTGTTTTTCTGTTTCCTACTGAACGTGTGTGCTGCCGAGCTGGTGTGAGTGTAAAAATGAAGCAGACACTTTCTCGAGTGTGCGTGTGAATCTTCATGAGTAAGCGGAGGACAAAGACCATGAAGAAACCCCACTTGAAGGAGGTTTTGCAGTGCAAGGAACAGGGGGTTTCATGGAAGCCACGGGGTGTACTGGGGAGACTATGGACCTCGGAACCAGAAGGGCCTGGGTTCAAATCCCCTTTCTGCAGCTTTAGGAACGTTCCTTCACATTCCTCAGACCCGTTTCCTCATCTGAAAAACGAAGGGAACACCTATTTGTAAAGGTTGCTGTGGGCATTAGAGATGATGTAGCTTGAGTGAACCTATCCGTGGTCGGCAAACCGTGGCTCGCGAGCCACATGCGGCTCTTTGGCCCCTTGAGTGTGGCTCTTCCACAAAATACCAAGTGCAGGCACGCACGTACAGTGCGATTGAAACTTCGTGGCCCATGCGCAGAAGTCGGTATTTTGTGGAAGAGCCAGTATTTTGTGGAAGAGCCACACTCAAAGGGCCAAAGAGCCATGTGTGGCCTGCGAGCCGCGGTTTGCCGAGCCGCAGTTTGCCGACCACCGAATGAACGAGGAGCTGGTTTTTACGCTGGGAGCATCAGCTAGCTACCCTCCGCTGAGGGTAAAAAGGCTTTGTGACCCGGCTATGCAAGAGGCCAATCTCAACAGGCTTTGCTTTCCTGACCCACCAACACCCACCAGCAGTGCATTGCCACAGGATGTTTGAAATATCCGTGACGTCTGTTTTGAAATGAAATAGAAGGTGTTTGAAAATAGAATTCAACTGTTTTCATTAGCAAAAGGAACTCCATCAAACAGCACATACATTCCTTTAAAATAAATCCCGAGACGGAATTCATTAAAGAGACGCTTTACTGAGACGCCACTGCACCTGTGGGCAGAGCCCAGCCACACCTTCCTGCAGGGGCCGTGCAGGTGCTGCTCTCAGACGCTCTCTGACAGGCCAGTCTCTGAAGGGCCCAGGCATTGAGGTCTCAGAGCCACTTTGGCTGTTTTTGTTTGTGTGCGTCTGTGTGTGTGTGTGTGTTTTAATGATTTTTATTGATCTTTTAGAGAGAGAGGGAGGGAGAAGGAGAGAGGGTTTTTTAATTAAACGGACTGTTATGTATTGTTTTTGTGATACAAGGACACATTCACAACACACCCCTCTCTAGGTCCTGACCCCTCTCCTCTCGTTTCTTTCATAGCTAAGCTTCTCGAGGAGTTTCTAAACTTGTCTCTGCTTCTTCACTTCTTTAAAGCGACGTGGCTTCTGCACCATCCACTCCACTGAGAGGTTTGTTTTTTAAAAAATATTTTTATTGATTTCAGAGGGAAGGGAGAGGGAGAGAGATAGAAACATCAATGATGAGAAAGAATCATTAATTGGCTAACTCCTGCACGCCAAACACTGGGGATCAAGCCCGCAACCCAGGATGTGCCCTGACTTGGAATCGAACCCTGACCTCCTGGTTCATAGGTGGACACTCAACACTGGGCCACACCAGCTGAGCTCCACTGAGAGTTTTGACACGGTGACTGTTAGATACCACTTTTCATACCCCAGAGAAATTAACTATAGAAAAACATGTTGTCTGTTTTACGTTATCTTACCTGGTTAACGTTATCTGGAATATCTGATACCCGGCTATGAAAGAGGCCAATCTCGACAGGCTTTGTTTTCCTGACCCACCAACACCCACCAGCAGTGCATTTCCACATGAGGTTCGAATTATTCGTGAAATCTGTTTTGCAATAAAATAGAATTTATTTGAAAATAGAATTCAACCATTTTCCTATCCTTGCACTAAATGGGCCCAAGATTTGACCATATACTTCCAGATTATATTAAACCTTTTCTTTTTATGATCTATCTCAGAATGTCAAAAATTAAAGTTCATGTTGATTTATTTGACTCAAATTATTTCCCTGCCCATCTATATTTTCAACATGAAAAACAGACCAAACGATCTTTCCTGTCCTATTTCAAAACTATTCTGTGTTTGTGTGGATTTTTTTTTCTTTTTACTTTTCAAATGAATGGATGGTGGAGCTGCACTTGCCAATCTGCACAAAGTGTAGATTCACTGGCTTATTACTCACCAGTCTAACACCTGACTTACTAGACAGCTAGCTCTCCCACGAATACTACCTCTATCAT